TTTGATCTTTATTTTCTTCAAACCCCATTATGAGTGGCTAGATTTTTACTAGGGTTGTAACCTAACCCTAGTATTTAAACCTTATGGGTGATTAATTTTATGCTTGTTTATGATTGAGTGTTGATTATTTAGCTTAGTTCATGCTTCAATTTTAGAATTAATGATTGCAAACATTGATTCATACCTATTTGACTTAGTCTCTACTTGATAAAGAGGGACCTCGTCTAGGATAACTTAGCTAACAAAGAGTTGGATTAATTGAAAAAATGATTAACCTAATTAAAGGGTTCAAACTAGAGATAGTAAAAACCCGACTTGAGCTATTATCAACTGTTTTGGTTGATACCTATTTGGACTTGAGAAAGCCAAATTTGGCAAAATCACTCTCTAACCGAGAGGTATTGAGTGAGTAATGTGGAGTTGAGAGCTATAATACACCCCAATCAATAAAACAAGTATAAACATCTTTATCCCAATAGGCAAACACATAAGTTATGGTCATAGCCCTAGGCCTTTAATCCAATTGGAAAAACCACAAAAATATTTATCTATACTCTATTTTCTTTAGCTTGCATTATTAGAGTAACAGTAGAAATAGAAAATAAAACCTTGTTGTGGAAGTGCAATCTTAGATAACCCATTTGCTTCCTTCAAATATATACTCATAACTCCCTGTGGAAATCGACCCCAACTCTTATTGGGTACTATTATTGCGTACGATCGTATCATATCTCCTATAGAGGTGTGTTATGGAAGTCATCACTAATGAACAATAGCCATTATTTCTCTATGACCTTTACTCAGTTTTTGGAGGTTTAGGACCACAAAAATAGGAATTCAGCACGATTTCCGATTTTTCATGAGCTAACGTCTACGCCATCTTTATCAATTCGGGTGACCGGTCCCGAGTCACCTAAACTTTTATGGGCCTGTCAGAAATAACCTAACAAACAATAATTATTGCTTCTCCATGACTGTTCATTATTGTTAAGCATTTTACGGCCATAAAACAGGAATTCAACACGATTTTTGATTTTTCGACTACAAATGTCCACGCCATTTTCATGAATTTGGGCGACCGACCCTGAATCGCCTAAAAAATTTTGGGCCAATAAAAAATGACCTAATAAATAATAGTCATTGCTTCTACATGACCTTCCTTATTTTTTGGCGTTTTAGGGCCACAAAATAGGAATTCAGCACGATTTTTGATTTTTCATGTGCTAATGTTCAGGCCATCTTCATGAACACGGGTGACCGACCACGAATTGTCTAAAATTTTGTGGTCCCATAATAAATAATGTATAAATAATAATCATTGCTTCTCCATGACCGTTCCTTATTTGTTGGTATTTTAGGGCCATAAATCATGAATTTAGCATGATTTTTGATTTTTTGTGTGCTAGTGTTCGCCCCATCTTCAGGAATTCGAGTTGCTGGCCCCGAATCGCCTAAAATTTTTTGAGCCCAATAGAAATGACCTAATGAACAATAGTCATCGCTTCTCCATGATCATTCCTCATATTTTGGCATTTTAGGGATATAAAACAGAATTCAACACGATTTTTGATTTTTCGTATGCTAATGTCCGCGCCATCTCCGCACCATAAAATTTTATGGGCCCATCAGAAATGATCTAATGAACGATAATCATTGCTTCTCCATGACTTTTCCTCATTTTTGGTATTTTAGTGCAATAAAATAGAAATTCAACACGAATTTTGATTTTTCATATGCTAATGTCCATGCCATCTTCATTAATTCGGGAGAGAGGCACTGAATCGCCTAATTATTTTTGTGGACCAATCAGAAATAACCTAATGAACAATAATCATTGCTTCTCCATGACTGTTCCTCATTTTTGGCGCTTTAGGGCCATAAAATAGGAATTCAGCACGATTTCCGATTTTTCGTGTGTATTTATGTCTTTATGAATTCGGGCGACCAGCCCAGAATTACTTAAAAATTTATGTGCCCATTAAAAATGACCTAATGAACAATAGTCATTGCTTTTACATTTTCGTTCCTTATTTTTTTGTATTTTAGGGCCATAAAATAGGAATTCAGCACAATTTTTGATTTTTCGTATGCTAATGTCAGCGCCATCTTCGTAAATTCGTGCGACCGGCCCTGATTTTCCTAATATTTAGTGGGCCTATCAGAAACGACCTAGGAAAATTTAGTCATTGCTTCTCCATAACCGTTCCTCATTTTTTGGTATTTTAGGGCCATAAAACAGGAGTTCAACATGATTTTCGATTTTTCGTGTGCTAATGTCCACGCCAACTTCATTAATTCAGGAGACCGCTCCCGAATCGCCTAATATTTTGTGGTCTCATCAGAAATGACCTAATGAACAATATCCATTACTTCTCCATGATCGTTCCTCGTTTTAGGGCCACAAAATAGGAATTCAGTGAGATGTCTGATTTTTCATGTACTAATGTCCACGCCATCTTCATGAATTCAGGTGACCGGCCGCGAATTGCCTAAAATTTTATGGGACCATTAGAAACGACCTAATGAATAATAGTCATTGTTTCTTCATGACCGTTCCTCTTTTTTAGCAATTTAGGGCCATAAAATACGAATTTAGCATGATTTCCGATTTTTTGTATGTTAATGTTCATGCCATCTTCATGATTTCAGGCGACCGACCCCGAATCGCCTAAAATTTTGTGGGTCGGCCCCGAATCGCATAAAATTTTGTGGGCCCATCAAAAATGACATAATAAATAATATTCATTGCTTTTTCATGATCATTCCTTGCTTGTTGGTGTTTTAGGACCATAAAATAGGAATTCATCATGATTTTCAATTTTTCGTGTTCCAATGTCCGCGACATCTTCATGAATTCGGGCTACCAGCCTCAAATCGCCTAAAATTTTGTGAGCCCTTCAGAAATGACCTCATGAATAATAGTTATCGCTTCTCTATGACTGTTCCTCATTTTTTGGCGTTTTAGTGCTTTAAAACGGGAATTCAGCATGATTTCTGATTTTTCGTGTGTTAATGTCCTTGCCATCTTCATGAATTCAAGCGATCGGCCCCGAATAGCCTAAAATCTTGTGGGCCCATCAGAAACAATCTAATGAACAATAGTTATTGATTCTCCATGACCGTTCCTTATTTTTTTGCCATTTCAGGACCATAAAATCGGAATTCAGCATGATTTCTGATATTTCATGTGATAATGTCCACGCAATCTTCGTGAATTCGGGCGTCCGACTGACCTCGAATCGCCTAATATTTTATGGGTCCATCATAAACAACCTAATGAAATATAGTCATTGCTTCTCCATGATCATTTTTTATTTTTTGGCGTTTTAGGGTTATAAACAGAAATTTAGCACGATTTTCGAGAGCCCATTTGGTCACAGCAAGGGCAATTATACTACCAACTTTAAATGGAAGGTAAAATTGTCTAATTTCGTATAGTAAAGGGATAATTTTAGCCATTTTCTGATTAATCAATTACATCCGATTTAATCCTTCAAAATTTGACTCGACACGTATTTTTTACAATCTTAAGCAAAGCCCTATTGTCACTATTTAGTTTAGTATCACCGAAAAGTTGAAAACTCCTAGGTCGACGAGTCATCCCCACAAACTACCCAGACTTGGGCACTTGACCCATCACAAATATATACTCCCTCCGTTCTAATTTATATGAACCTTGTTTGACTGGGCACGAAGTTTAAGAAAAAATGAATACTTATAAAATTTGTGATCCTAAACAAATCGAAAAGGGGCTCGGAGTATTTGTGTGATTATAAAAGCTTTTCATTAAGGGTAGAATTGTAAGTTTAAGCTAAACTGTTTCCAAATTTAGAAAGGGGTCATTCTTTTTGGAACAGATCAAAAAGAAAATAGGTTCACTTAAACTGGAACGGAGGGAGTAAGTTTTTGGCCAATATTGTTCCTTATCTTTGATGGTAGGTCTATTTTGGTCCCTCAAATATAGCCCTGAGCATATTTAGTCCCTTAAGTATGCGAAAGTAGAGCACATTTAGTCTTATTGCATGAAGCAAATCTTCTGCTCTGTTTCCTCTCCTTTTATTGGATAACGCAAATTAGCACTTTAATTCCTCATTCTTAGATAATGTCTTCTAAAATTTTGACCTTGAAAATATCCCCTTTTGTGCCAGTTTTCAATGAGAAAATGACACTGTATAGTCGTTGTAAAAATAATAGCTGGAAATGTGTAAAAATTGTATATTTTTTTTTTTTGTGTGTGTGTATATATATATATAATTTTATACATTTTTCGGTATTATTTTTACAGCGGCTATACAGTGTCATTTTCTCATTGAAAACTGGCACAGAAAGGGATATTTTCAAGGTCAAAATTTTAGAAGACATTATCTAAAAATGAGGAATTAAAGTGATAATATGCGTTATCCAATAAAAGGAGAGGAAATATTTTGCTTCAAAGCAGAAGATTTGCTTCATGAATCAGAGTTGGGTAACATCGTTAGTTTTTGAACATATTGTGTCAGTGAGACTAAAGGTGCTCCACTTTAGCATACTTAAGGGACTAAATATGCTCAGGGTTATATTTGAGGGACTAAAATAGACCTAACCTCAAAGATAAGGGACAATATTGGTCAAAAACTCTAAATATATCGCTAGGAGGACTATGTGGTGTCATGGAGCGCTTTATTTTTTAATGTGAGATTTGTTTACTGAAAAATTGAATTTAATTGGCCTTAATATGAGTATCGGATACACGGTGAAAATTAAAAGAAAAATTACTTCTTCTTCTTCCCATTTCTTTGCAAATTAGACCGAATATGAAAGTTAATAAGCGTAGATTTTTATATTCGTTGATGAATGGCATGTAGGTGCTTAGGCAACATCAGAGAATTATGCCAATAACAGTACTAAATAGAAACAATCACCAGTCTAAAAGTACAGCAGATTTTACCCTTTGATAATTTACACATTTATCAATGCACTGATTTTATCAGGCAAGACATCAAACCACTTCTTGGGGAAAAAAGGGGGACAACAAAAAAAAGTTATTAATGTGTACAAAGTATTCCGTATTTATACAGGGTTTGGAAAAGAGCTGCACCCCGAGGGGTGTGATGTAAGCAACCTAACCTAATGTAAGCATTAATGGCTACTTCCATGTTTAGAACCCGTGACCTACAGGTTGCACGAAAACAACTTTATTGTTGCTCCAAAGCTCGGCATAACACTACTAAGTATTATTTTTCAAAAAGCCCCAGGGCCGAGGGAAGGATGATTTAAGAATACTGATTCATTTATAAGAAATGACTAAACATTCTGAGTTTCTTATTTGACTAAAAGTTATGAACAAAAGCTGAAGGTGTTAAACTAAAATTGTCAAGCCAAGGACTACGCAACTGCATCCAAACAGGGTCTTGACTAAAATCCATGCTCAATTTTGGTACTTGAAGATCAGCCAGGTTGCCTTTCCCATTCAGAAAATTTGGGCTTAAGCAATTACTCTTACCTTTGATTTCTAATGAAATTTCATAAGGGTTGTTCTCAGAAATTGAAAATATATCTTCTTCAACTTCATCCTTAGTAACTGACATCAAGAATTTGGGACTCTGATCAGTTATTGACGCTGCCATAATTAGTTCATTATGTTCACTGCAAAATGACATGGTGTCCATTGGCTGATTTGTGGTCTTCATTTCTTCTTCAATTGCAGCCCTCTGCTCCAAAACCTTTAGGGAAGTTGCTTTCCTGTATATTTTGCACAACACTATGTCCTGCACATACAAATTTCACCCTTGTAAATTGAGTATCTCCAAAATGGCAACTTAGACAATTTATGAACGGAATAGTGGCTAATCTCTTTAGTTTTATACGACACTTTTCCATTTTTTAGTCTGCTTGATAAAAGAAATGACTGGTGGATTAGGTACAGGTCACAAGTTCGAATCTTATCTTAGACAAAAAAATGATATTGTTTTGTATATATATGCATTATATATATACAAAAATATACTATATATTTTTTGACTAACGAATACAAGATTTGCATTTTGCCCGAATATATACCTGAGATGAGGAGACAGTATGAGGTAAGCGAAACTCATTCATAACCCAATCAGTCTTGGAGCCCCGGGGAGCTCTGCCATTATAGAAAACCAGGGTTTTCTTAAGGCCAATTATATTCTTGGGATGTGACGAACTAAATATTTTTCGATCAGAACCAGTTGCTTTCCAAAATCCCTTTTGAGTAGTCCTATTTGGCCTTCCTCCGCTGCCATGTTTTCTGTCTCTTGGCACAAAAAAGTACCATTCTCTCTCGCCAATAGTCGCCAGCCCTGCTCAATTCATTAGCCAATATCAGAGAGTTATACTACTGCATTCACTACAAGAAATTAGGAATAAGACTACATTATATTAGATCAGTGTAAACAACTGATTCCACGCCTCGAACCCGGGACCTATAAGTCACACAGAGACAATATTATCGTTCCTCCAAGGCTCCCCTTCCTACTACATTACATTAGATATATGTCACAAAATAAAATTAATATCGACATTTGTTTTACACTTGAACTAAATGTCAGAAATTTCAATATCAGGAATTTTCTGTCATTAATAGCTCTGATTTCTTGTGGTAATTCTAAAATCAAGTATCATTTGCATATCCATGACCATATGAACATTTTTTTTTATATACCTGGTAAGTCCCAAGGATCATGACGATAAATGTTGAGGAGGCCAATAACATCGCAGCGCAATTTCAAGCCGAGGACTTTATTTTTAAGGTAAAATTGAAGAAGCTCTTCTTCAGTTGGGTGAAAGCGGAAGCCCGGCAGTGCAAACTCCATAGCTGATTCTCCCATTATTCGGATGATTGATTGTCAAGTTGGTGGATTGACTACAGAAAATTATATTGATATTGCTTAGTTATAGTTTGCCATACCACACGAAGAGTTATATGTATAACATAAGAAAGAACCTAAGAAGAAAGACTTATAACTTAAAATTATCAAGACTTCAAGTCTTTCCTAGAGACTTAGAATGACGCGTTTGTGGCCACTGCTGTCGTTCCTGTGGGGTACATTCTCGACACTGACATCAATTTTCTTTACAAGGTTTTGGTTTTCACTGCTTAATTATCATAAGTTTGAAGTTTCAAATGTTTATTTTCCAAATTAACATTGCAAGAGTTTCTACCACTAGTCTATAGAGTCTTTGAACAGTTTCAACCTTCGTTAGCAACTGTCTAAGGTCAAGATTTTCGATCAACTCATGTGACCTATTTAGTTTGAATTGGTCATACTACAAACTTATCACAGTATCTAGTTTTGCGGTCCATCCGATGACCAGGGGCGGATCCCGTGGCGGAGCCAGAATTTTCGTTAAGGGGTGTCAAAATATATAAAAGTAACTATACTAGAAAATTAAAGTGAGTCAATACATAGTATATATACATATAATTTATTTTTTTACCTACCTACACAGTGTATTATTCTCGCGAAGGGGTATCATTTGGCACCCCTTCCTATAAGGTGGCTCCGCCACTGGGCGAATCTACTATGCGACATATTAGTTCAAGTGAACTAAGTAGCTTTTGTCTAGACAATGTATTTATTTTAAAAAGATCCCCTAAATATATGACTGTCAACTCAGTTATAATTGTAAATTTGGTTAAAGTAGCTATAGGAACCAATAAAACTTCAAAGATTGGATTCGCCACCGCATCTGATCATTTTGATGCCAATAGTCTTTTCTTTTTCAATGATCTTGTTTTTTTAAATATATTAATTGCTGGGATTTTAAGCTTGTGTAGCTTAAAGAAGGTGAATGAGAAATGGAGGGAAAATGAAATATTTGAGTTTCCCTTGGGAAAGGGACATTGTCCCATATCGGAGAAAGAAAAGGCTTTTGATGGGTATATTTATAATTGCTCTTCTTCTAGCTCTTAAAGAGTTAAGAAAAAGGCAAGCCTCGCGCCGTCGTCGTCGTCGCTCGCTCGGCTTCGGCTTCGGCTTCGGTCAAAGATTGATTGATTGATCTTTTTGGACAAAATTCCTTTCAATTATTTAATTAATTAATTAAATAATTAACGAAAAAATTCAATCCGGAATAACCCATGACACGCGACTCTATAAATAATGCCAGCAACTCTATAAATAGAGTTTGAATCTTAGAATCTTTCCTTACGAAATTTTTTGAGCTTCTTCTTCTTCTTCTTCTGCACAATATTTTTCAGTGTGTTTTACGATCATTGAGTGGTTCGCAATTCATCAGAGTTTTGGTACCAATACACTGGTGAGTTAAATCGTTCTATCCTGGGAGGATATATTCCAGCACCTCGGGTACTTGAGGGGAATAATTTTCTTAAGGACACACTGTGTATTCAGTGGGCTCGATTTATTCCTATACTGTTTTTTATTTTCCAGAATCTATTTCGTTAAACAAGTATTACTAACTTTTTATTTTTATTTTTTTCAAAAAATTTAATTGTTTATTACAGCAATACAGAATAATAACAACCTTAAGAAATTTTTTTTTTTTTTATATTCTGTATTTTGTTTGTGGAGATTAAAACCTGTGTGGTTTTTTACTCCTTCTGAATTTTACTATTTTGATTCGAAGATATAAAAACTTCATCAGAGTATTAAAATTCGTAATACGATTTGAAGAACATAAAAACTTCATCGTTTTTCTGTAAAACAATATATAAAAACTTCAATTTTTATACATACGGTTTTTTTTTGTTAATAACAATATTGTGTACTGTTCTGATTTTGCCATTAATTGAACTCTTCTGTTGTTTACAGTGAGAAATGGCAATTGATAACGGAAATTTTTCTGTGACTATTGAGGCGTGGAAGCAAGCAGATTTTCTTTGCAAAGGTTATATCTTAAGCGCTTTAGAGGATGACTTGTACAATGTGTAC